AAATCGAGGCCTCTGTCTGGGCGGGTGGTGTGCTCCAAGGACACGGGCGCCATTGCTGGAGAGATGCAGGATGTCTGCATCTCAGGGGTTTCACGCCGAATGACTGGGCAACACTGGATACCGGAGCGGGTGAGTGTGTCTCTTAGAAACTCAGACCTCATGATCACTCTTTATTCTAAAATGTTTTGTATTCTTTATTAGTTTTTTTTAATTTTTAAAAGGATTGATTTATTATTTATTTATTTATTTATTTGACACAGAGAGAGAGTGAGTGCAACCACAAGCCGGTAGAGTGGCAGGCAGAGGGAGAGGGAGAAGCAGGCTCCCGCTGAACAGAGAGTCTGACATGGGGCTCGATCCCAGGTCCCCAAGATCATGACCTGAGCTGAAGGCAGACACTTAGAAAGAAATTCTAGAGGGGCACCTGGGTGGCTTGGTCGGTTAAGCATCCAACTCTTGGTTTTAGCTCAGGTTATGATCTCAGGGTCCTGAGATCGAGCCCTGTGTTGAGCTCTACACTCAGTGCGGAGTCTGCTTGTCCCTCTCACTCTGCTCCCCATGCCCCCCACCTCTAAAATAAATAAAATCTTGGAAGAAAGGAAGGAAGGAATCCTAGAAAGAATCCCCTACTCCTAACCTTTGCCATCGAGCATTCTGCTTTGGACAAAGAAAACCTTAGTAGTTTAATTTATCCCTGGGACCCATGGGTGTGGTGGTTTGGGCCCCAGCATGTGAGGGGTTCCAGGAGAGCCCACCAAACTTGGGCCCCCACATAGTCACCCACACTGGACCTGGGGCAGGTGATGGCCAGACTGTGGGTTTCCCCCTCTCTCATCCCCCCATCACTGCCTCCAGCTTATTATTTTACCTTTCACATTTAGATCTGATTAATTAATTGGAGTATGACATGAATTCATTTTTCAGGATTCTTTTTTTTCCATATGGATATCTAATTGTTTCAGCTACATTTTTGGAAAAGATTATCTGTTCCCTAGAGTATTGCAGTGTCACTTTGTCATAAATTAAGTGACCTTCTATGAATGGATCTATTTCTGGATTCTCTCTTCTGTTCCATTGGGCGATTTGTCAATCCTATGCCAGTTCCACCCTATATCAATTATTGTACTGTATTGTACTGTTCCCATAAATTTTGATATCTAGTAGTATAATCCTTCGACCTTGTTGTTCAAGATGGTCTCTACTATTCCTGATTCTTTATGCTTCTCTGTACATTTTGGAGTCAGTTTGTCAATTTCTACCAAAAGAAATATGCTGGGATTTTGATTGAGATTGAAACAAATCTGTAGGTTAATTTGGAAATAATTGATATCTTTGTATCATTGAGTCTTCCAATCTATGAACATTCTTTAATTTCTTTAATAATGTTTTCTACTTCTCAATGTAGGGACCTTGCACATCTTTGATTAGGTTTATTTCCAAGTATTTGACATTTTTATTTATTTTTTTAAGATATTTATTTATTTGAGAGAGAGAGAGTGAGAGAGAGAGAGTGAGAGGGGGGAGGGTCAGAGGGAGAAGCAGACTCTCTGCTGAGCAGGGAGCCCAATCCAGGGGCTCGATCCCAGGACCCTGGGATCATGACCTGAGCTGAAGGCAGGTGCTTGACCGACTGAGCAACCCAGGCATCCCTCCCTGGTAACACTTCTGACAGCAAATAAGAAGGGTTTCCTTCCTCCTGCCGCCCGTTCTCCAACTTTCAGACAGCAACTGGCTCTTCAACAATTCTGTTCAATTCTGGCACTACCTGGAGTCAGCACAGTCCCCCCAGGCTCAGTCCCACAAGCCACCCTCCACTGCAGATGCCAGTTGTGAGTCTTAGGCCACCCATACCTCTGACCAACTGGCTATAAGTTGGGGGTTCCCATGAGCCCCTCCTCAGATTCTATAATTTGCTAGAATGGCTCATGGCACTCATTCATTACAAAAGATGCAACCCAGCCACAGCCAGACGGGAGAGATGCATAGGGGAAGGGCTGGGGTAGGAGGCACAGAACTTCTTCCCCACCCTCCCCGCCTGCTTCACCCTCCCAGCGCCTTGATATGTGCACCAACCCAGAAGCTCCCTGAATCCTGTCGTTGAGGGGTTTCTATGGAGGCTTCATTGCATAGGCATGACTGATTAAGGCATTGGCCATTGAAGATCAACTCAATCTCCAGCCCCACTCCCTCCCCAGAGCAGGGGCAGGTCCGAAAGTTGGAACATTCTTTCCATCTGGGATCGCAAGGGTGTTAGGAGTTGTATGCCCAGGAACAGGAAACTAAGACCAGACATCTATTTCCCATTGTACCACAAAATCTTTAAAAAAAAATTTTTTTTCTATTTGTTTGTTGTTGGTATGAAGAAATACAACTGATTTTTTTCTTTATATTGATCTTGAATCAGGGACCTTCTAAATTCACTTACCTAATTCCAATAGTTTGTATGTAGATCTTTCTCGATTTCCTATGTACACAATCATGTTGTCCCAGGCAGTGTTAGTCTCACCACATTTTGGATGAGTCTTAGCAGCCTCTGTTTAGGTGGGGATTTCCCATTAGCTCTGATTTCTGGCCCTACTCCCCCCCTCCTCCAAAACCCGAGCTCAGTTCATTCCTTCCAGCAGCTCCCCACCCTCACTACCACAACCTTGGGTCCTAGGACTCTGTGGTGTCCTTCTTTTTCCTCAGACTTTTCCTACTGCCTCTGGGAAAAACTTGTTCTCAGAAGGGGACCGAGGAGGGGGAATCCCAGAGCCATTTACCATTTGCTAACGATGCTGTCCCCGCACATTCCTGCAGAAAAAGCTGGGCACTCAGTTAGGGCTGGGGAAGTCGGGGAGAGGGATGTTTGGGGATAAAAGTATTAGCCCACTCTTCTTCAGCTCTCAGATACGTCCCTACACCTGCAAAAGAGTTTGAGTTCACAGAACGAGGCAGGGAGGGTGAAACCATCAGTGAAGCTAATCTAGAGACAGAGGGGCTATCTGTGAGGCTATAAACACAGGATTGCAGAATGAGGACTTTGGGAGCCAAAGGCTGAGAGGGAGGAGGGTGTTTTACCAAACCACAAAGCGTCTACATAATGGAGAGGTGGTGAGGTGCCCAGGTCCCCCAAATGAGGCATGGCCCCTTGAGCAGCAAATCTGCGAGGAACGGTATTGGGCATCTCTCCTGGATTTGTATTTGTTCACGTCCCAGTGAGCTCGGGAACAGGTGCACAGAGAGGTAACATGAAAAGAGAATCAGCCCCCATTCACTGGGGCTCTACTCACTTAAACCTCCCTAAGCCTTGTGAGGCAGCCTTTACTAACGCTGTTTTATAAATGAAGAGCCCTGAGGCACAAAACATTTAGGTAGCTTGCACAGAGCCTCCCCAAAATAGTGGGAGACTGCCCACAATTTGCCTGCAACTCAGCAGGTGTATTTCATTCCAAAGGCCTTGGTCCTTGGGGCTCCTGCACACGTGGATTTGCCCACAGGGAGCATTTGGTAGACTGCCAGCGTCAAAACCTCATAAGCGGCTGACATTCCAAGAGGTGTGATGTAGATTCAGATTGACTCACACGTGCTGAATTCCTCCTGGGAAAGCTGTGGCCGTTTGAGGACCCCTGCCTTTCTGAGTGGGCACCAGCTGCTGCCCACATCTGTGACCTACTCCAGAACCTGCTAAAGTGACCAGGAAAATGCTGTTTCCAGAACAGGAACCAAAGGAGAATGCCATGGCTCTGTCTGTATTCCAAATCTTTGTGGGGTTTTTTTTGTTTGTTTGTTTTGGTTGTTTGTTTTATTTACAAGAACTTGTATTTATTGCAAATGAGAACGAAACAACAAAAAAGAGAACAGTCAGAACCACACCACCAAATCTTTGGTTAGATGAATGATCCAAGCATTCAATTCAAGAAACAAAGATGTCTGTTTCTTGAAACCTAGAAGTGATCTTTCCAGGTGACATTAGAGCCCATTGAGTATATTTACCACGATAAAGAGAAAATTAAAAACAAAAAAACCATTGAGCTACTTTGAGCTGCTTCCAATACAAAAGCATTCAAGTGAGCACTCCCAACCAGTCTTCCATCCACATGTGGTCCTGGCCCGGGACTCCCTGAAGGCAAGCTGGATTCCTCACTTTACTCTGGGTTTCCAGTCTCCCCATCTCAAATCTGCACGCCCCTGCCACTAGTAGTTGTTGACGTTGCTCACAGGGCCTTAGGCAAAGCCCAGATTAGCAAGGGCTAGAGGTTTGGCTGCAAGTGATGTTTTGCACAGAGTTCTGAGACTCAAGGGAAAAGGGCCCAAAGTGGGGAGACTTAACCCTAGGCAGCTGCCCTCCCCCACGCCAGATGTGCCTTGACTCAGGACCCTTCTGGAACTAGCCAAGCACTTGGTGACCAAGAGGGCCCTTTTGGGGGTTCCTGGTCCTATGATCTGTGGTCCCAGACCGGATAACATGTTGGCTTTTTATGAATGTGGCTTATCACATAAATAGGTTTTCTGTCGTTGAACCATCCTGGGACGAACCTGAGTTAAACAAAAAAACTGTAACATGCTGTTGGATTCAATTTATTAGTTTTGTTTAGGATCTTCACTTTTGTTCATAAGTGAGATTGGTTCAAATTTTCTTTTTCTTGTACTATTCTTACCTGGTTTAAGAATCAAAGTCGTACTTGCTTCATAAAATGAATTTGCCTGCTTTCTTCCCTCTTTCCCCTTTTTCAATTATTTGACAGCAGAATGATATTTGTAATGGGCTTTGGATCTTATAAAAACACACCCCCAGAGTCTGCCTGCTCGGCAGGAGATTTGGCACAGACAAGAAGACAGACACCTCTTTTCCTTGTTTATAGTCTGTGTTGGCTTATTTCTGGCACTTTTATTGTTTCTGGGACTGCTTTGCTGGGAGCTAGCCATATCCCTGAGGAAGTAGGGATGAGAGGTGAGGGGAAGCCCTGGGCTGGGGGGAGGGAGCCCTGAATGGGGCGGGGGGGCAGCACCCACTGCAGCCGCCTATGCTTCCCGGGGCCAGGTGCCCATGAAGCCCCTCACTGGAGCCCAGCCCGACTCTCCCCACGCAGGCACCATGTTCCGAAAGAAAAAGAAGAAACGCCCTGAGATCTCGGCCCCACAGAACTTCCAGCACCGTGTCCACACCTCCTTCGACCCCAAAGAAGGCAAGTTTGTGGGCCTCCCACCACAATGGCAGAACATCCTGGACACACTGCGGCGCCCCAAGCCCGTGGTGGACCCTTCTCGCATTACGAGGGTGCAGCTCCAGCCCATGAAGGTAAGGTGGGCGGCGAGGATGGTCGGGCTGAGTTTAGTCCTTCCCACTCCACAGATGACCGTGCCTGGCAAGACCACAAAGGCACCTCATTACCAGCTATCAATCAGCTGGCTGTTTTCATTGCCCACTCATGAGTCTCACCCAGGGTGAAGACTCCATTTCCAGGGAGGAGGAGCCTGGGGAGCCCCTCTCTGCAGGCTGGTAGGGTTGCCAGATTTAGCGAATAAAATTACAGGATGCCCAGTAAAATTTGAATTTCAGGTAACAACATGTAATCTTTTCGTATTAAGTGTGTCCCATGCAATATTTGGACCCGCAGCCCCCGTGGGGCTGGGGCTCCCAGACCAGGGGGATTTTGTTGTGTGGGTCAAGAAGGGCAAGAGGGGTTGGAGTCAGGGCCCTGTCAGAATATGCGGAGGAGAGCCCTTCACTGGTTGCTACCTCCTCGGGGCACTCTGTACATGTCCCATAAGGCCACAGATAGAGCTAGAGAATGACCCCACCCCCTGCCCCCAAGCTCAGCTGCCCATACCATTTGAGGGGCTTACCCCCTGTCTGCCCTGCCGGACTGCGAGCCCCATGACAATAGGCTTTCTCCTTGTATCTCTGCCCCCCGCACGGGCCTGACCTGCTGTGGGCCCCAGTGAGTGGCTGAAAAATTAAGATGACACAGCAAGCGAGGTCCTTGGGGTGCCTCCCCATGAGCCCCGTGGAGGCTCCCTGCAGTGAACAACAGGTTGCTCGCTCACACTCTTCTCCCTCCCCTACAGACTGTGGTGCGGGGCAGCTCGGTGCCCATGGATGGCTACATCTCAGGGCTGCTCAACGACATCCAGAAGTTGTCGGTCATCAGCTCCAACACCCTGCGTGGCCGCAGCCCCACCAGCCGGCGGCGGGCACAGTCCCTGGGGCTGCTGGGGGACGAGCACTGGGCCACGGACCCAGACATGTACCTGCAGAGCCCCCAGGCTGAGCGCACCGACCCCCATGGCCTCTACCTCACCTGCAATGGGGGCACACCAGCAGGCCGCAGGCAGATGCCGTGGCCAGAGCCACAGAGCCCAAGGGTCCTCCCCAATGGGCTGGCCACCAAGGCACAGTCTCTAGGCCCCACGGAGTTCCAGGGCGCCACGCAGCGCTGCCTGCAGCTGGGCACCTGCCTGCAGAGCTCCCTACCCGGCGCCTCGCCCCCCGCAGCCTCCAGTAGGCACGGGACCAAGGCTGCCAGGCACGGTTCCGAGGAGGCCCGGCCACAGTCCTGCCTGGTGGGCTCGGCAACAGGCAGGCCGGGCGGGGAGGGCAGCCCCAGCCCTAAGACCCAGGAGAGCAGCCTCAAGCGCAGGCTGTTCCGAAGCATGTTCCTGTCTACTCCTGCCACGGCCCCTGCAAGTGGCAGCAAGCCGGGCCCTCCCTCCCAGAGCAAGGTAGGTGGGGTTGGGGCCACCCTCTGGGCCACTCTCAGCAGGGCAGGGAGCCTGGCCTTCCCCACTTACAGGGTCAGGCTAGGGAGAGCGTAAGGGAACAGAATGATCGAGAGCCTCTGCTGAGGATTCTACCCTGAACCAGATGAGCTCTGCTCTTCCAGAGGCTTAGCACGGGTGAGTCAGAGGTTGCCGGCCAGCTCATTTTCTGGGGGGCCTCAGAGGGGCTTTCGGTACACCCCAATTTACATTCCTGCCCTCTGCAGTGTGTCTAGGTGGACCACAACTGGGAGGCAATCACCTTTAACCATAAGCCCAGACCTTCCCCTGCCCCCGGAGCCCAGCGGCCCCCAGCCCGGCCCCAGCAGAGATAGGTGTTCCAGCGCTGGGCAGGGTCAGGGGCTCGGCCTCCCTCTTCTAAGAGCTTCTTTCCACCTCTGCCCCTCGCTTGCCCCAGTGCTCTCCCGAAGTCGAGCAGAGGCTCCCTGGACTGCTTCTCCCTCAGGAGTCAGAGATGTTCATGTGAACCCCTTCCCCAGTGAGGAGGATTCTTCCCTTCCTACCCTGACCCTGCCTTTTTTTTTTTTTTTTTAAGATTTATTTATTTATTTGAGAGAGAGAGTGCGAGTGCAGGGAGGGGCGGAGGGAGAGAGAAATTTTAGCGGACTCCTAGCTGAGCTTAGAGCCCGATGCAGGGCTCGATCCCACGACCCCGAGATCATGACCTGAGCCGAAACCAAGAGTCCGATGCTTAACCGACTGAGCCCCCCAGGCGCCCCCCCCTCCCCTTTTTTTGAGTGGTTGCTTGGTTTACCATTTCTGTAATGATTTGTTCTGCGGTTTGTGTGCCATGTGAAAAGCTGGAGGATTGAGTTAGCCTAGGCCTGGGAGCAGCAGGAAAGCCAACTTTTGGCATGGCTCGAATGCACAGATTTTTCTTGTGAAATAGGAAACAGCGAAGGGGCATTTCTTGGCAGGCAGAGGAGAATGTTCTTGCTTCTTCCATGCCCTGTGATGTCCTGTCCACGGTGACAGCACCATCCTTTCTCATTTGGCAGATGAGAAGGTGGGCTCAGAGAGGGTCGGACGAGCCCCAGGTGTGGAGACTGAGTCAAGGAAGGCAGCAGTGAGAGGGCCCTCCGGGCTCGCGCCTCTTACTCCCCAAGGCTTTCTGATCATGGCATCTCTAGCTCCTTTGTGAGGGGCAGGCAGAAGTGAGCTTACCCGATGCAGCGCAAGGGTGGGAAGTCAGACGTAAGAAACAACTGGTGACAGTGACCCGAGTGACAGAGCTCCCCTCCCCCGGAAGGCTTTCAGAGCAAGCCTGGCGTCTCCCTGGTGGCGGCAGCACATAAGCGTGCTCCAGCCAGAACTTGGGTGCAGAGTTTGGGGAGTGGCCTGGACCCTCAACCTTTCTAAGTCACTGCCAGCCCAAGGCACCCAGAGAAGGTCCTGGGCTTTGTACACTCGCTGGGATGAAGGATGCAGGCTGGGCTCCCCCGTGGAGTGGGGGGTAGAGGGCCGAACAAGTGAGATATGGCATGGTGTGTCTGTGAGCTAGGAGGTCTCTGGAAGGCCGTGCTCCCAGAGAGACACTTCCCTGAAAAGGCAGGTGGGAGCAGGCCAGTGCACACTGCCCAGGAGGTGAGAACTGGAACTTGATTGCTTGCTGGCCTCTTGGGAGTCCTGTGGCGGGGCTTCAGGGGAGAAAGGGCGTGTCAACATGACCTGCATGTTTCTGAGCTCCTGACAGCTCCCCACAGTGGGGAACAGGCTGTCCAGCCAGCCTCGGTCGGCCTGCCCATCCTGCATGTTACCAAGGATCTACCATAGACCACTGCAGCAGGGTGTGTCGTGGAAGCAGGGGGTCGTCGTCTGGGGCTGGGAGACACCACAGTTCCAAACCCAGGGCAGTGGCTTCCTTCCCAACACCTGGGGCATACGTTTCTAGAGAAATACTTCCAAGCCAGGCCTCTAAAAGGCAGGGCTGAGACTTCCTCCGAGCTGCTCTGGGCCAGGGCTCCTCAACCCCTGCCCTATTGACATTTGGATCCGATAATCCTTGGTCGTAGGGGCTGTCCTGTGCACTATAGGATATTTAAGAGCATCTCTGGCCTCTACCCACTAGATGCTGGTAGCCCCTCTCAGCTGGGACAACCAGAAGTCCCCCCAGACATTGCCAAATGTCCTTCGGGGGGATAAAATCAGCCCCAGCTGAGAACCACTGTGTCCAGCTTCCTACTCCTCCCCTCACAGCCCCAGGAACCCACCAGACCAAAGCAGCAGTCCGCCTCTGCCCCTCGGCATGCCCCAGGGCCTGTCAGGACCCTCACAGCAGCAACTGCAGCAGCTGTCCGTGCACTGGGGCCCTAGGAGGCCAAGCCACCAACCGCCACAGCGGGCCAGAAGAGGCTACAAAACAGTGTGCGGCTCTGGGGCTTTGTACTCAGCCCCAGGAAGCTTGGCCTGTAGTCACTCACTTTGGCTAAACAGCAAAAGACTTCGAGCCCTGACTGGAGGCAGGGAGGCCAAAGCGCTGTAAGACCGGAACTGGGGGCATTTAGAAGTGGTTCCACTTAGAGGCAGAAAGGCTAAATCAGAAGACCTCAACAATCAGCAAACCTTGGTTAAACACCTACTGTGTACCCTGTACTCTGTTATATGCCAAGGACCTCCAATCGGACCACAGCTTAGGGGTGAGGGGTCAGGCTGACCAGGCCTGAAGTCAGCCTTCCTCTTTCTCTGGGCAAGTTACTTAACCTCTCTGAGCCCGTTTCCTGATCAACAAATACAGATAATAATAGCACCCGTGGAATGATAAAACAACCCGAAGGTCATGAGAATTAGATGAGATTATGCATTTAAGGCCCTTGTTAGAGTGGTACACCCTCAGTAAATGGCTTTATTATTTTTAAAATATTAGGACATGGCCTTTGCCTCCGAGGCACTTAGATTACAGCCCCCCAAGCCCACGGCTGGAGAGCCTGGCCCTGTCGCCATGGCCCAGGAAGGGGAGATGAGGCATCATTGTAACTGCATGCCTGGCTCTTCCGGTGGCTTCCCGCCCACGAAGACGTCTCAGTCACACAAGGAACTCCAGAGCCCGTAACAACTAATTCCATCTTTTGTCCCCCTTTCTCTTTCTTGGCATGGCTTAAGAGATTTCCTCTGGCCTTTTCTTGTGGTGACATTAAGTAAAAGCTCCCTTCTTGTGGAGACCGGCAACAAGGCCAACAAAGGGACACTGGGGACCAGAACCTGCTGAGGTGAAGACGGGGCCCAGCCCGACTACCTCACATCCCATGTCCTAGGCCACACTGGAGCTGGGCTCTCAGCTGGATCCCTGCCCTTTGCCGCTTCCATGCATCCACCCACCCACCCACCGCACCCTTGGCCCCTGAGTTCAGCAACCACCTGTAGCAGTGTCCCCACAGGGCCTCGACAGCGGAGGGGAAGCGAATCCCCTCCTTGGCCCCTCGGCATGGCCTGTCCTCACCTGCCCCACCCCCGCCACCCTAGCCAACTCAACCAGAGAGCAGAGACAGCCTGTGTAGGGGGCCGAGAGGCCAGCAGGTGAAGGGAATCATTTTACAGCCTGCCTTCAACATCCAGGTGGAGAGAGGTCAAGGGCTGATTAGAGCAACCTCAAGAGCAGCTCTAGATGCTTCTAGGTCCCCAAATTCTGTCCAGCCTGACCCAGATGCTCAGAGAGCATGTTTTCTGTGAGCCGCGCCTCGCAGGCCAGCAGGCAACCTTTTCTCAGGGCCTTGGGGGCTGCCTCGGTGACCGCGTGAGGAAGTGAGCTGTGTAGGGTGCTGTCCTGTGAAGCCTCTGCTCCCAGGACATGGCCTCCCAGCCTCAGGAGTGGCCATGCTCCCTGTACCCCCAGTCCCCAGTCCTCCCACAGCCTCCCTGAGGCCATGGAATCACAGAGCCCGTTTGTCCAAAGCTGCTCCCAGTGTGGTCCACGGTCCTCTGGCATCAGAGCCCAGGGGCCTCATTAAAATGCAGAGTCACTGCTCTAGGGACTTACTGAAGCAGGAATCTGCATGTTATCCAGCTCCCCAGATCACCGTGCACTGATAGATGAGATGGGCTCAGAGAGGGTGAGCGGCCTGAGCTTCATCACTGGTCAGAGCCCGAGCAGTACTGGAATCTAGGTCATGACCCCCACTCCAGAGGTCCCACTGCTCCACTGCACAGAGTGGGGAAACGTGGGTGAGGGGCAGGTGCTGGTGAAGACGTGGGCGGGTCTCTTTACTGTCCAGATGTGCTCACCAGGCAGGATGGAGTCATCCCGGCAGTGCTGGGAGGCTCTCCTGGCTCCTTCACTGTGAAGGCTGAGCCCGAGCCAGGCATAGCCTGCCAGAAGCTGGTGCACACTTTGGGGTGTGCAGGCGGGGTGGGGGTGGCAGAGTCTGCCACAGCTCGGCTCTCTGCTGGCAGGCGCACTCACATACATGCTCCCCTCTAGGCAAGATCAGGCACTGCCTAAGGTGGGGTGGGCACCCTGAAGCCTGGGGAGAGGGTGCTGAAGAGGTTGACAAGGCTCTGGGGTGTCCTCTGCTGAGCCTGGTAGGGTCCAAGGACCAGACTTGGGGTCCCTCAGCCCAAGCTGAGCACTTGAGGAGAGTTCTTGGAGGTCAATGCAGTTCTGGGGATCTGGACCAGGACCCACTGGGCAACTAGACAACTGCCGTATGATGGGTTCTGAGATGTTCTGGAAAGTTCTCTGCAGCCCCTGAAGTGTCCCTCGTTAGGTTACTTATGGCCCTTTCCAGGTGCCCCTTTTAAAATCATATAATCCCTGGGAAGAGTCATGTTGCACATCGCCAGCTCTTGGAGAGAACCCAAGGAGGGGACCCTTTCCTGCCAGGCTGGCAGGAGGGCTTGGGCCCTGAAAGGCAAGGAGCCTCAGAGGCTTCAGGGCTGGGCCTTGGGCTCACTGAGGCCCAGGCTGCCACTCAGTTTCACCTTCCTTTCTTCTCCACCAGAGACCATAAAGATAGCTCCCCTCCCCACCTTCCCTTCCGTGTGGGGGTCATCAGCCAGGAGTCATGCTCGGGAGCAAGTACAGAGGCTACTCGGGGGAGCCCCTAGGAAACCTCCCTACCCCTGGCCCCAGGGCTTCAGTTAGGCTGGACCTACCCTCCTAATTCCAGATCTCTCTGGCACCAGATCCCTAGCCCAGGAGACATACCTGCGAACCCCCCAGAGGGTAACACGGTCTCTGGTCCTCTGCTGGGAACATACTCTCACAGCATAGACACACAGACTCCCTGCTGTCAGGCACGAGTGGGGCTATCAGATAGGAGGATAGGTCCAGCCTAACCCAAGCCCTGTGCTGGGAAGCAGTCCCAGCTGCCCCGCTGTCCACCCCCGCCACCCCACTGCCCGGGGCCTCTTCTGCCCACGTGGGCCCTTGGGTGGGAGCGCCCCGGGAATGAAGAATGCCTCTGACCCAGATTTCCCGACCAAAGCCCGGCAGTACAGAGGGAAGACGGCCTCTCAGTGGCCTCCCGGGGGTCTGGCTGTCAATTACCCAGGAAGAAATACCCAGCAGAGGACACCCCAGGGACTCTGCTTTCTTCAGCTTCCCAGGAGCGGCAGAGCGGATGTAAAGAGCTGCTGTTCGGACTGCTCACCTGGGAAAACGCTGGGGGCTGGGTTCCCGAGCAGGAACTTTGGCTTCGGCTCCATTTGACAGTCCTTGCCCACAGCACCTCCCCTATCTGGTCCGATGCCCTGTCAGACCTGCCCCTGTCCAGAGGTCACCCCCTGCTGCTGGGAAGGTCGCTGTAAACGCTGCCACAGCCAAAGCCGCCTCTGTTTCTCTTTCCCTCCCTGCAGCCTAACTCCTCTTTCCGACCACCGCAGAAAGACCCCCCACCAAGCCTGGTGGCCAAGGCCCAGTCCTTGCCCTCGGACCAGCCCATGGGGACCTTCAGCCCTCTGACCACCTCGGATACCAGCAGCCCCCAGAGGTCCCTCCGCACAGCGCCTGCTGCCGGCCCACCCCCAGGCCGGTCCTCCCCCGCGGGCTCCCCACGCACCAGGCAAACCCAGATCAGCACCAGCAACCTGTACCTGCCCCAGGACTCCGCGGTGGCCAAGGGCGCCCTGGCTGGCGAGGACACAGGTGTTGTGACACATGAGCAATTCAAGGCTGCACTCAGGATGGTGGTGGACCAGGGTGACCCCCGGATGCTGCTGGACAGCTACGTGAAGATCGGCGAGGGCTCCACGGGCATCGTCTGTCTGGCCCGGGAGAAGCACTCAGGCCGCCAGGTGGCCGTCAAGATGATGGACCTCAGGAAGCAGCAGCGCAGGGAGCTGCTCTTTAATGAGGTGGGAGGAGAGGGTGGGACGTGGTGGGGCGCTTAGGATGAACATCTGGGAGCAGGGCCGTGGGGACTGGGCCTGGCACTCAGGCACCCCCGTCTGCCCCCCAGGTGGTGATCATGCGAGACTACCAGCACCTCAACGTGGTGGAGATGTACAAGAGCTACCTGGTGGGCGAGGAGCTGTGGGTGCTTATGGAGTTCCTGCAGGGCGGGGCCCTCACAGACATCGTCTCCCAAGTCAGGTGGGCAACTGGGGGCCTGGGCTCTGAGAGCTGGCTGCCCCCACCATTGTCCCGGCAGGGGGACTGGGCAGCCTCAGGCCAGGAAAACTTGGGGTGCCTGTCACATCACTGTGAGCCACCCCCTGTCCATTTGGGTTAACAGACCCAGGAGGGTTCAGGGCAGTGGGGTGGGGTCTCCAGCCTAGGTCCAGGCCCATTTCCACCAAGGCTCTGGCGTGACTGGACCCCCACACGTATTGCCCAGGAGCTGTGGGGCCCAGTCCCAGGGGCACCTAATCTGCCTAGCCCGGCTGCCCTGCAGCCCTGCCAAAGCTCACGTTTTCTTCTGTCTGCGGCCTGGCCTTCCCTGTCCAGGCTGAACGAGGAGCAGATCGCCACTGTGTGCGAGGCCGTGCTGCAGGCCCTGGCTTACCTGCATGCCCAGGGTGTCATCCACCGGGACATCAAGAGTGACTCCATCCTCCTGACCCTCGATGGCAGGGTAGGGCCCTCCCCAGCCTGGCGCACCTGTGCCCCTCCCCCTGCGTCTGTGCTCCCAGCTCAGCTCCTGCCCTAGTTCACCACTCCCTGTCCCCCCCACCCCCATCTCAACCACAGGTGAAACTCTCGGACTTCGGATTCTGTGCTCAGATCAGCAAAGATGTCCCTAAGAGGAAGTCCCTGGTAGGAACCCCCTACTGGATGGCTCCCGAAGTGATCTCTAGGTCTCTGTATGCGACTGAGGTAACCGGTCCTTCCATGCCCCCGTCCTCCCAGAAGTTCCTACTGGGAACAAACAGCTCATGTGGCCCCTGTAGAGACACCCCTTCCCCAAATAGACCTGGTTTTCGGATTCCCACATAGTCAATACCCTACCCCACTTCCCATTGTCCCCCCCCCCACCGCCTGCTCCTGCCCGCTCTTGGATGGGTCTGCCCTCACTTGTGGCTTTGCTGCCACAAACTCTTCCCCGAAATGCTCCTCGTGCAGCTTGTGGGCAGGGTGGGGTATTGCCAGGCTTCCCCACATCTGATGGCTATTCTCCGAGAATGGCTGACAGCTCTGTCCCTACAGTCAGTGGGCACTCCTGCAGGAAGTAACTGGCCACAGGGCAGGTGGCCAGGAAGGTGGCCAACTCACCAATGACAGCTGGGACTAGCTGCTCCTGTCCCCGTGCAACACCCTGCTACCAAGGGGCCCTACTCTGGCCAGTGGCGTCAAGGACATTCTCTTCCTACAGGTGGATATCTGGTCCCTGGGCATCATGGTGATTGAGATGGTGGACGGGGAGCCACCCTACTTCAGTGATTCCCCAGTGCAGGCCATGAAGAGGCTCCGGGACAGCCCCCCACCCAGGCTGAAAAACTCTCACAAGGTCAGTCAGTGCTCAGGGTGGACCCTGATGACCACATTCTTCCTGAGCTGAGGGGACCAGAGCCTGGGCTTCCAGACCCACAATCTCCCTTCCACAGAAGCCAGAGGCTCCCAGAAAAGGCTCCGCCTTCTCCACACAAAACCTGCAGCAAACCCCTGTGGGCACTCAGACAAGTTTCCACCGGCAGGCAATGGACAGGAGCCTGAGAGAAGGGAAAGTAAGGCTGCCAGAAAACCCTGATGTCCTGGGGAGGAATCTAGAGAAACTAACTGAGCAGGAGCCCCTCCACTCCCTCTGTCAGGGGAGCCGTGCCATGGCACGGTGTTCCAGTCTAGCTCAGCAAATTGGCTTGTCCTCCATCAGTGCACATCCTAACCACATCTAAGCCACAGGTTTTCCCTTAAAACCAGTGTGTGTGTGTGTGTGTGTGTGTGTGTGTGCACGCACGCGCGCATGCACATTTAACCCTTTTCTGCCAAATCCACCCAAACCCACAGGTCTTACCAGTGGACAGCCCCTTGCTGGTGGCCAGCTCAGCACAGGGTGGCAGATGGCACTGCCATCTGGTGGCCAGAGCAAGAAATGTCCCAGAGGGTTGAAACGCAGTCCCTAAATGATAAAATACTTCTGGGGCCCCAACACAGCTGGATAGGACAGTCAGGAAGCACCTTCCCAGACAACTGGTCCTTGGAGCCTACACTGCCAGCCCCAGGACTAACACATAGGGGAGATTTCCAATTGGCTAATTCCCCAGAGGAGGTAGCCTTCTGCAACAGCCCAAGACTTAGCCTTATCCCAAGATACTGGCTCAAAATGAACCAAGACAAGCCCTTGACTTAAACTCCAAGGCTTAGAGCATTAAAGAAATCTTCCTTGTCAGGTTTCACTTTGCTCTTTTCTATTTTTCAAGACACTTCATCCCTGGCCTCTTTTTTGATCTTCACTAAAGACAGGGCAAGCACATTTTATCATTAGCCCACTGGGCAGATAAGAAAACTGAGGTCTAGGGCGCCTGGGTGGCTCAGTCGGTTAGGCGACTGCCTTCGGCTCAGGTCATGATCCTGGAGTCCCTGGATCGAGTCCCGCGTCGGGCTCCCTGCTCGGCAGGGAGTCTGCTTCATCCTCTGACCCTATCCCCTCTCATGTGTTCTCTCTCTCTCATTCTCTCTCTCTCAAATAAATAAATAAAATCTTAAAAAAAAAAAAAAAAGAAAAGAAAACTGAGGTCTAGAGAAAATTGCAACTTGTCGAAGATCAGGGATAGACCTAGGACTGGATCACTAATACCAATCCCATGCCCCTTCCACAGAGCCACAGAGCCTGAAGGCTGAGAGCCTCCAGCAGCAGGGTGGGGAATGGGCTGTGTATTTGCAGCCGGGCTCCCCAGCAGCAGCTCCTAGAGGTGAGCTAGCCACTTCTCCTGGACTGATGCCAAGTTTCTTTACTTACCTGATAATCTGAAAAGTCCTGAGCCTGGGAGCTGCCAGGAAGTAAGAAACAAGAGAATTCAAGACCTTCAAAAGATGGTGGGGCCAGGCAGACGAGTCACCCCAAAGTGACTGCATGCAGTGGCTTCCACTCACTGCTGCCCTGTCTCCACAGGTCTCCCCAGTGCTTCAAGATTTCCTGGAACGGATGCTGGTGCGGGAGCCCCAGGAGAGAGCCACGGCTCAGGAGCTCCTGGACCACCCTTTCCTGCTGCAGACGGGGCTGCCCGAGTGCCTGGTGCCCCTGATCCAGCTCTACCGCAAGCAGACCTCCACCTGCTGAGCCCACCCCAGAGCGCACCTGCCACCTCTGCCCACAGGCGGGGGACACTGGGCAGCCAGCCTGCCGGCAGGGCCTGCCTGCCTCGTTCTCTCAGTATTCTCTCCAAAGATTGAATGTGAAACCCCACCCACACCCTCCTGCCCTTCAGCCCACTGGGCCAGGCCGGACCTGCCCCTTGGTCTCTCTCCCTCCCAAGAGAGTCCCCAGTTGCCTTTGGGATGATGGAGACCCCTTCTACAGGATGACCCTTCGTTATTTGCACAGGGATATTTCTAAGAAACGTGGAGACCAGCACTCCTGGCCACTGTGGCCAACCCAGCAGAAAAAGCTGGTGTTTTTTAAAGGTAGTTGTGCACTAGCATCCCAGGCCACCCAAGAGGGCAGACTGCCTGTCTTCACCAGGATACTTGCTGTTCTCAGCTCCAGCTCTAAACCCTGGGGTCTCAAGAGGGCCACAGGGAAGGTTTCTACTGCCTGAAGCTGTCTTCCTCCCTCGTGTCTGACTTCCCGAAGGTACAGTCCGACCTGCACCTGCTTCCCAACCCACCTGCACTGACATCACTCTCCCTGCACAGCCTACCCTGAAGTGTGAACAGCCTGCTCGCAGGCCAGGGAAGGAGGAGGAGCATTTTTTCTGGGAGAAAGAGAAAGAATGGAGTTAGTGGTAAACGTGGTCTCACTTTACAGGATGGAGAGAACATCGTGTGTGTGTGCGTGTGTGTGTGTGCATGCGCGCCTGTGTGCGTGTGCGCACGTGTGTGTGTGTAAGTGGCAGACGGTCACCCCGACAGCCTGGCTCCCTTCAGGTCACCCACGGCCAGCAATAAGGCTTCTCCATCCTTTCTGCCACTAAGTTCTACTCTGAAGGGACCTGCTTTCTTGGCCTGGCTTCCCACCTCCCAAGGATCTTGTCTCTACCTGACCAGCGAAGAGATCTGCGTTGAGTCTAGTGCATCCTAGGGGTTTGGCAGATTTCTGAGTTTCGCCTATATTGTGGAGTCTCAGAGCCAGAGACAGGAATGGTGAGGGAACAGACTTTGTTTTACCTGTGAGCTTCATCTCAATAACCAGGTCATCAAGGACCCGTTCTTTCAAAATCTTGGTCTTGGGGGAGGTGAACCATCTCCTGGGGTCCCATCCTGTCAAGAAAATGGGCACCCCCTTTGTGCAAACCTATCGGCCCTAGCTGCCTCTCCAGACACCTGTCTCCTTGTCCCCCTTTTCTCCCCACCTTCAGGGATGTTGTGAGTCAGGGAATCCAGGGAAGAACTCCAGGTGTCAGGACCCTATCTAGATAATATTTTTAGATTCCTCTGCTCCCTAGTGGCCTGCTTTGGGGCCAAAAATAAATTGCAAGGACTTTTTTAAGGGTCAGAGTTTTAAAAACAAAAGCATCTTCCCTAGAAACTTTTGTGAATTGTTTGCACTTGTGCCTGTTTTAAATTAAACTAAGTGTTCAAAACCTCTGGGCTCTTGTCTCTGAGAATGGAGCCAGGCTGTCTTCAAGCCCGACACCCTGCAGTGGGTGTCTGGTGTGCCCTCCCCCTGAACATGAGCTCCCCAGCAGTCACTCAAGTCCACAGAAAACCCAGCTCCCTGGTGGCATGTGGGCCCGTGAGGGCAGATAAGGAGGGAAACAGGAAGTGAAAGGCCCTCGGGGCTGAAAGAGCTGAGAAAGAGACAGAGCTCTCCTTCCCAGGGGAGCAGAACCCAGCCAGGAAAGCCCGGGCCATGTGCTGTGCTTGCTGGCACACAGGGGCTCTGGTGGCAGCCACCGGGGCTGATGACCACTTTCTGCATCAGTGTCTCTCGTATCCCTTTTGCTTCTCACTCCAAGGCAAGTCAGAGGCCGCCCTCCCCATGCTGTCCATAGGAAGTGGCCGGAGGCTGCTTCCAGGGAGAAAGCAGTCTCTGTTTCGGTTCTCAGAACTGAGGGGTTATGAAGGAGCAGTGCAGTGGCTGGAAATCAAAAGACCTTGGTCCTAGTCCTGTGGGGAGGGGAGGTGGATGGAATTCTCTTTCAACTTCTAGCTCTGACTCTGATTCCAGCACTGCCTTCCCGAGAGCTCATCCTGCCCCCCAGCCCAGGGCTCACGGAAACCTCTCAACCAGCATCCAGGAGTCGTGCAGACCTTCTCCTGCTCCCCGCAGCAGTCCCACCCAGACAGCTGCCCTAGTCGGAGGGTCCTAGTCCCACCAACTCAGTCTGAAGCAGTACCCGAGTCCTGCCTTCAGGACGCAGCCACAGTGCCCAGTGGGACAGGCAGGGATGGAGGCTGATGGAAGGTGGAAGCTTTGCGGGAAGCAAGCACACCCTTCTGCGGCTCCAAAGGGAGCCCAGAATCAGGAGCCGCTGGTAAGGCAAAGAGAGGCCAGTTCTTGCAACTGAATAATACTGGATTTATTAACTATTCTTCTGAGTTCTAATAGTCCTTCCACCACACAGTGTCATTCCAAAAGCGTGTGTGTACATCATTTAGCCTCCCACACAGACTAGTTCTGAGCTTGATGTTAGGGTACCGAGATCCAGTGGCCTGGGTGATTCTTCACAACGATGAAAGCAACAAGAGTTGGAAAAGAAAACTGTTTAGAAAAGTCTCTTCTAAAGTGGAGTGAGCTCGAGAGGACCCCAGCCTCAAAGCCCTGGGGCTGACAATGACAAGGAAGTGCAGGAGGGCGAAATATGGTGACATACAGAGAAATTCTGCACAAAGCTGGGCCCCGTAAGAAATCTGCAAGAATGGCAAGTCAGTCAAACACAATTCAGTGCAGACAGGAAAGATCTGTTGTGGTTTAAGAAACATTGCTTTCAACCACCAAGCCCTTGGCAACCCGGTGGAGAGGAGCCCTCACAGCTGTTTACTCAATAAGGAGGGCCCCGAGGTGACAATGAACCAGAAAGCCACAGGTCAGCGACATTTGAAAGATGACAGCACCTTCTGCCTACTGTTCAACCCAGACCTTATGGTGTTCTGAAGAAGCCAAATACTTGTATCCTTACACCATTAAAAAATTCTGTGAAAATTAAACACAGAAAGGGAATAAGTGAGCAAGCAGGGGTCAGAAAAAAAGGAGTTTGTACGTGGGATGTCCAATTATCCCCCATCCCACCCCAGATCCTCTCCCTCTGGCTTTTCAGGTGCTTCTGTATTGTTCCACCACCCAGACAGTGGGACTGAGGAGAGGCAGGTGTGTGGGGAGAAAGGAGTAGGGGGAGGGCAACCCCCCCCCAAAAGAAAACAAATCTCATCAGAAGAAAACAGTGCAGCTTCAGAAATTATAAACAAGGAGTTGGAGACTCCTGTTTTTCAGAACAGAGCAGGAGCTCTCTGGACATGGGAGCCTTAACTTGGAAGATCTTGGGGTCCTTAGTGAAGAAGGGTCTCGTCTCCTGCTACTCCAAATCCGAGTTTTGTTTTGTTTTTTGCTTATTGTTCCTCACTTCACTGCTGGGAAATGACTTCAAGTATCCGGATTTAACATACGACAAGAGGAAGAGGATTCCATGGGTAAATGCACACGGAGAAGTACATTGCGGTGATCCCAAGTAAAACCAGAAGTCTAAACTCCGAGCCAGGGCACCGCGAGGAAAGCTCAGCGCTGCCACCAGGGGGCACCAGAGATCACGTCCAGTGCGGCGTGGGGGGAGAGGGCGCGGCCTTGCCGACCGTAGAGGGGTGGAAGGATTGGGGAGGTGTCTGACACCTACACCAGGCCCGCTCACCTCCAGAACCAGTTTCTCAGCACAGATCATTCTCGCTCTGGGAAGTTCCCTTAGAGTTACTGGTGAGAAACCTTCCGTTCTGCAAAGGCATATAGATCGACGTCTTGAAAAGACCCCACCTCAGACGGGTGAGGCGCCGCACGCTCAACCTTGGGGGTTCACAAAGAGCCCCCCAAGCGCCAACGATCCCGCGCGTTGGACGCAGATACCTGTGCTAGCGCTTCCGCAGGGTCCTGGGGCACGCGATCGCCAGACCCGCCAGAACTCGCTCCCCCCCCCACCCCTGACACACACACACACGCACACTTCTTAGGTCCGCACAAAGAGGAGGGCAGGGAGGGAGGGGAAGAGGAAGGACCAGGCCGGGAAAGGGCATTTAACCACCTCCCCGCGGTTGCCTCTGATTCACTAATCTGCCCAGTAATGAAGCTGGGCCGGACCTGCGTCCCACGCGCCGGGGCAGAGGCAGGGGTCCTTGGTCTCGACCTCCAGCATCCATCATCCGCCCTGCCCTCCATTAACGGCCCGCGAGAAGCAGGAGCCCTTTAACAGCCCCCTTCCAGCTCTCGCAGGAGTTTGATGTAATTTAAACCCGGACCCGCGGCTCGTGTGGGCTTCCCGACTCCCGCGCGCCGCCGTTTAACGTGGCAAACACTTCAGTCAATTATCCCCCTCGCAGAGCTTCTATTTAAAGAGACATTGTCAGGTTCTTAAGCCTCGGATCAGACCCGCTGCTTTCTGCTTCATATACAAAGACTCAAAACACGAGTTCTTTGAGGATTGGAAGAAATACAATTAAACCAAGCCTTCGCAACCATTCCACCCTGCCGGAGCACCCACGTGCGGGACGGGGGAGCTGGGAGGTGGTGGGGGCGGGGAAGTGCCAGTCCTTTCCATTTCAGGCTCTAAGAGTGAGAGGAAATAAGGCTGGGCCCTGAGGGGCGAGACCTCAAAGATAAAACAAATGCAGCTGAGCTGAAGCTGGGCTCAGGTGCTGGGAGCTGGGCTCAGTAGGCGTTGCTGTAGAGCAATGACCCCACATCATCAGTGAAGTTGAAAACTGGGTCTGCGGAGCTGAAATTACCCAGAAGCTATTTCAGGGGACAAGTAGCCTTCAGTACCAGGGCCTCTGCCCCCCCTAAATATGCTCTCATCTTCTTGAGGCAGGAGTTTCTCCCCAGAAAAACTTAACCTCCAGATTCCTTCCTAATCAGCCCTCCTGTCCGGAAGGGCTCAAAGGCTGGTCTCCTTGCTCTCCTTGCTCTCCTTCTCCAACACTTAACAAGAAGGGAGACTTCGGTGGCGTGGAACATTGCTGGCCACATCACTAGGCAGAGGGGGGAGCCTAGGTCTTTTTTCTACAAGTCAACTCTTCTGCTGTCTGGCTGCCAGGGTATGGGAAACTGGTAAGGAGGAGGTGACCCAGCAGGAGTCGGCAAGACTCAGAACTGAGCCTTAGGGGCTCAGAGTAGGGGGTCCGTCTTCCTGGCTGAAAGGCTGTAGCCTATAGAACCATTCTTCTACTCCTCCCCTCCAGGACAGGAAAGGTAGGCTATAGGGACAGTGGGAGACCTAGGCAGGGAATACCAACAAGCACAAAAAAAAAAAAAGAAGAAATAAAATAGGGGTTCTTTTCAGAGAGAGGATTGGTAGGGATCTGGCCTGGGCAGTGGGGACAGGTTCTGGGATCACAGGCCAGGAAACTGCCGGGAAAGTGAGGGACCTGGAAAAAAGAAATCCCAGTGGAGGAGAGACATAAGAGGAGGGGACGCAGGGCTCAACCTCGACGCTATTTACCGCTGAGCGTGCAGCACCACGGCCTCCGTGCCCACCTGCCAAGGCTGAGGCCCAGGCACCGAGGGGTGCAGAGCGTTGGCCTCTAACTCCGCGCCGCTCTCGGGCCCCGATGCCTCCCCGACCAGGCTGGGGATGTCTGGAGCGGTGGAGCGTCGACGCAAACCCAAACGGCCAGAGCCGGGGCCGCCCTCCGGGTGGGGGCTAAGGCCAATGGGGGCTTGCACTAAGGTCGGAGGCGCTCCCTCCAGCACCTCCTGCGAACGCCACCGCCCGGTCCCTGAAGCCTGGGGCGAGTGTGGTAGAGCCATCAGGGCTCCCGCCCGCAGCCGAGCCGCTTCCTCCTCGGTTACAGCACCCAGCGCCAGGCTCATGCTTCGGCCCAGCTCGGGCCTCTCGCTGCCCTGTGCTCGGTGCCGGCCCGAGGCCTTGCCCCCTGACCCAGCTTCGCCGCCGTGACCGTGGCCGCCGGCCGCTCGCGCAAAGCGCGCCAGGAGAGGCCGAGGTAAGCGGCGGGGGCTGGGTCGTCGGCGCTCCGGGCTGGGCGCGGGAGCCGGACGGCCAGGGGGGCTGTCG